ATCTGTTGATGGGCAGCTAGGGTAATTCCCTGTCTTGGCTACTGTAAAGAGTGCTGCAATAAACATGGGCATGAAGTACTTCATTGGAATGCTGATTTCATTCGCTTTGGATATATACCCAGGAGTAGATAGCTGGATCATATGGTAGTGTTATTTTTAGTTTTCTGAGGAACCTCCATATTTTCCATAGTAGCTGTACTCATTTATGTTCCCACAAGCTTTGAGTGTCCCCTATCTTGAGTGGAACACATTGTTCTTGTCTTTCTGCTTTGACCTTGATTAGTGTCTCATTTTGTCTTCCAGTAAAGTTGAGCTTATTGTTGAGCTGTCTCACCCACTGAATTTTCAAGGCCTTGAGAGCAGGCACCCAGTCCTATTCATCTCTAGCTATGCAGTAATTTAATGGCTTAGGAGATGATCAATACATGTTAGTAAGGTGTTCAAAGGACTGGCTAAGGATGCCCCAAATGAATGGACAAATGTTGAGCTGGATCTGGGGATGGTCACACTGGATACCCATTTGCACTAGACTGGTGAGAGGAGTCTGGACTACCCTGGGGTCATCTGACTGTGTTGTAAACATAGGAGGCAGATCATAGGGTTCAGGTGATAACTGCTCATGCCCAACTCCAGGCCCATTCTCCACTTTGGAATTCATGTTGAAGGGACAGACTCTCCTGGATCACTTATGGTGCATGTCTGCATTCATGGAAGAAAGGCCTTTCCTGGCTCCCATATGAACATAAGGTTTGTTCCACCATGCTTCTTCTGGTTATGGCTAGCTTGACAGTGTCCTGTAGGAGCAAATGCTCTGTGGAGACAGAGGATAAGGTTGGGAAGCATCATTTTTAAATATATTTTTTGTTTAAGCCACCAAGTCATGGATTCTCAGCCACTTGATTTCTTTTTGTTATTATTGTTGATGGATTTTTATTTTATTTGCTTATTTATATGTGGTGCTGGGAATCGAACGCAGTACCTCATGCATACAAGACAAGCACTCTATTGCTGAGCTACAACTCCAGCCTCGCCCCTCGATCTCTTATATTTTTGATCTTTGAAGCCACCTTTGTGGTAAGTCTTATGGCCCTCATTTTATAGCTGAAGAATATGAGACTGAATGAAGCTAGAGTCTTGCCCAAGGTTACACAGCTAAGCAAATAATGAAGACATGATTCAGTCTCAGATCAGTAGGTCCCCAAAGAATCTTAACAGAAAAATACACAGAAGATATGTGGGCTTCCTTTCCCCTATAAAATAGAAATATATTTATAAAATGATGAATTAGATATTTAAGGTAAAGTGTTTCTAAATTATTGTTTATCTTTAATCTCTCAAAAACATTTGCATAAATGACAGAAGGAAGGGGTAGAAAAATATAATTCCTCTACAACTATTTCCCCATATTTACCCCCTATAAATTACGTAGTTATAGGGATACCTACAGAACATTTTGCCCTTTCTCCTCATTTTATAACCAAGGTGTCATGAATTTCTAAAGGTCATATTAAAAAGTTGATAACAGAACTGATGCTTAGAAACCAGTCTGCCAAATCCTAGCCATTTTATTTTATTTATTTATTTAAAAATTTTTTTAGTTGTAGGTGGACAAAATATTTTTATTTTATTTTTTTTATGTGGTGCTGAGGATCGAACCCAGTGCCTCACACATGCCAGGCAAGCATTCAACCACTGAGATATAGCCCCAGCCCCAATCCTAGCCAATTTATATCTGCTAAATCAGCCTGCCTCATAGAGTCAGTGAACCCAGATTTATAAAAAGGTGGGGAGAAAATAAAATATTACTGCACTCTGAGTTAGAAGAGGAGACAAACATTTTGCTCACCACCTGTCTTTACTTAGGTATACAAAAGACTTACGAAACAAGACCTTTGATAGAAGAATTTACTGTTGGGGCCCTTGTGGCTTTGGGGACCTGAGTGGAGCTGCCTCCTGCCTGCGAGTGGGGGAGGGGTCCCTTTTGGCTCTACAGAGAGGAAGGTGGCTTCCAGAGGAGCCATCACCTCTGGTCAGGCCTCAGCTAAGGGGTCAGAGGCAGAAAGGCCCTGCCAGTCTCCTTCTGGCCTTGAGGGTCAAGGAGGCTGAGGTTTAAGGCCAACATGGAATGCTGGGGGCAGGAGGGGGGTGATGGGCAGAGCACAGGAGGCAGAGCCTCCACCCCTCTACTAAGAGATGAGAGAGGCTCCAGGGGAGGGGGCAGCTGTAAAGTGAGATTGTGGGGGTAGAGGTGGAACAGGACAAGAGGCCAGGGAGAAACAGAGCTGATGGGGCTGCTTCTGGAAGGAGAAGCAGTGCAAGGCAAGTTCTGGGTGTGGCAGCTCATGGAAGGCTGCATGGGTTTCTAGTAGCACCTGGCATCTCCTCCCTGGGGCCCCAGCCTGTACCTGCTTTGTCCCTACTGAGTGAGCCACAGCCTGCTGACTTATTTAGAGTCCCAGCACCTACCCTCTCCCCCTCCCCACCCACAGCCCAGGATCCTATCCTCCTTCCTGTTCCTGTCAATCTGGAGGTGAGTGCTGCTGCCTGGTCATCATGCCCTCCCCCCTCCTCTTCCCTACCCAGATAGCTGTATGCTTCCTCTCCACAGCAGGCCAGCTCCCGCTGCTGTCCATCCTTCTTCTCAGTGGCGTGCCTTCTGGACAAACTGTCTCAGGTTTGCACTGAGCATTCATTTCTTTTTGCTTACTGTATTTATTTTCTTCCCCCCCTTTTTCTTCCTCCCTCCCTTCTTACCCCCCCATTTTTTTGAAACAGGTTTTTACTACATCACCCAGTCTAGTTTCCAGCTCACAGGCTCAAAGGTAGTCTCCTGCCTCAGCTTCCCAAGTATCTGGGATCACAGTCATAAACCACCATGGCTGGCTCTCATTTATTTTTTTAAGTATTTTTTAATTGTAGGTGGACATAATATTTTTATTTTATTTATTTATTTTCATGTGGTGCTGATGATCGAACCCAGGGCCTCACATGTACTAGGTGAGCACTCTACCACTGAGCCACAACCACAGCCTCTCTCATTTCCTTTTGATCCCAAAGTTCTACCATTCTCCTCGTTCCCAAATTGGTTCTCATAATACTCCACCTGCTTCCAGACCTTTTAATAATTTAATAGTTTACATTACCTTTTCTTTCTAGTACTGTGATTCTGAAACCCAGGGCTGTTTTGAATCCCTGGGGACTAAGGGTTATGTCTAGGGAAATTTTCAATTGTCACATTGGGTGGGTCTTAATTGGTATGCAGTGAGTAGAAGCCAGGCATGCCACTAAACTTCCTATCTTGCACAGGACTAGAACTGATAATAAATATCCTGCTCACAATGTCAATGGTGTCAAAGTTGTGAAACACTGCTTTATTATTTAGGTACTCCTCTTTTCTTAAAAAAAATGTAGTTGTAAATGGACAGCATGCCTTTAGTTTATTTGTTTCATTTTCTTGTGGTGCTGAGGATTGAACCCAGGGTCTCACACATGCTAGGCAAGTGCTCTGCCACTGAGCCACAACCCCAGCCCCATAGGTACTCTTGTTAAAGGTTAAACTTGGAATTTGCCAGGTGCTGAACTTCTTGGCATTGTACTACAAGGGGCAGCTGCTTTTTCCTTCTCTCAATTGGGAGAGGGGTCCAGGCATTGCTTTAAGACAGCTACAATTTAGGCAGAAATCTATAGGGGGTGGAGAAATTCTCCCCTCCCCATATTTACTACCAACTTTTACTTATTTATTTATTTAGGTACTGGGGATTAAATCCAGAGGCACTTAACCATTGAGCCACATCCCCAGGCCCTTTTAAAAAATATTTATTTTTTAGTTATAGTGGACACAATATCTTTATTTTATATTTATGTGGCATTGAGGGTCGAACCCAGGGCCCTCGCACGTGCTAGACGAGTGCTCTACCTCTGAGCCACAACCGTGGCCCCACCCCAGCCCTTTTTTATATCTTATTTTGAGACAATGTCTTGCCAAATTGCTTAGGGCCTTTCTAAGTTGCTGAGGCTGTCTTTGAAATTGCAATCCTTCTACCTCAGCCTACGGAGTAGCTGGGATTACAGGCATACCCCACTGTGCCCGGAACTACCAACTTTTTTAGAGGAAGTGTTGCACCACATCTTTTGAACACCTTTTTTTTTTGGTACTAGGGATTGAACCCAGGGATCTTAACCACTGAGCCACATCCCAGCCCCTTTTAAAAAGTATTTTATTTAGAGACAGGGTCTCAGTGAGTTGCTTAGGGCCTTGCTAAGTTGCTGAGGCTGGCTTTGAATTCATGATCCTCCTGCCTCAGCCTCCCGAGCTGTTGGGATTACAGGCACGCACCAGCTCGCCCCACCTCTGAATGCCTTTTTAAAGAAAATTTGAGGGGGCCTAATGAGTGTAGTTTAGTGGTAGAGTACTTTACCTAGCATGTAGGAGGCCCTGGGTTCAATCCCTAGTGTTACACATACACATACAATGTTTTTGGAAAGAAAATAGTAACAGTCTAGTAGTAATTAATAAAATGCAAAGTTTTACTCAGTGAAAGTTGAATGCAATAGGTTTTAGAGCCCTCTCTCTTCAGTTTTCATGATTTTAATTTGTAATCCTTTAAATATTGGAATATTTGCTGTGTCTAGATGTGACTATGAAAAACTATCTTGGGCTTGGATTGTTGTGCAGTAGTAGAGCGCTTGCCTAATGTGTGAGCCTTTTGGGTTCAATCCTCAGCACCACATAAATATAAATAAATAATTAAAATAAAGGTATTGTGCCCATCTACAACTAAAAAGAAAATGAAAAAAAACCCCTTAACTATATTTTAATTTAAGGCTGGTGAATTCTTAATTTGTTAAGGGTATGCCTGTTTCTCAGAAACTGGCTCAAAGTGTTGCTTATTTACGTAGACTTGAGTTTCTTGGGTCTCTGTTTCTAACCAAGCAATGATAATGCTGGCCAACATATTTAAATTGTCAATCTAACTCTCATCACCTTTGCCAGTTTCTTCCAGCTGCAACCAGTTGTCTTCAGCATGGGGGAGCAGAACCACTCTGCAGGGAAAGAGCTTCAGCACAGGACACGAACAGAGGCTCCAGCAAAGAAAAACTGGCACCCCCAAGCCTACACTCTTGGGGCCATTTCCAACTTTATGTCTACTTTTCTGACCTTTCCCATCTATAAGGTGGTATTCCGGCAGCAGATCCATGCTATGGCAGTGTCAGAGGCTGTGAGACAGCTTTGGCATGAAGGTCCTCAGTACTTCTACAGGGGAATCTACCCTCCTCTTCTCTCCAAGACATTGCAAGGGACTCTGCTATTCGGGACTTATGATAGCCTGCTGTGCTCTCTTTCCCCTGATGGGCCACATTCCCTGGGACACCGATGGACTGCAGGGCTCATGTCTGGGGTGGTGGAGGCTGTGGCACTCAGCCCCTTTGAAAGAGTTCAAAATGTCCTCCAGGATGGTCGCAAGCAAGCTCGCTTCCCCAGCACCTTCAGCATTCTTAAGGAATTCAACTCTTATGGGCTGTGGGGGCGGCTGTCACTGGGCTATTATCGGGGTTTCTGGCCTGTCCTTGTCAGGAATAGCCTGGGGAGTGCTCTCTATTTCTCTTTCAAGGACCCCATCCAGGATGGCTTGGCAGAGCAAGGCCTGCCCCATTGGGTTCCTGCACTGGTGTCTGGTAGTGTCAATGGAACAATCACCTGTCTAGTTCTGTATCCTCTGATTGTGCTGGTTGCCAATATGCAGTCCCATATTGGCTGGCAGAGAATGCCAAGCCTGTGGGCTTCTGCCCAGGATGTGTGGGACACTCGGGGTCGAAAGGTACTCCTGATCTACCGAGGAGGTTCCCTAGTTATCCTAAGGTCCAGCGTGACGTGGGGCCTCACTACTGCTATCCACGACTTCCTGCAGAGGAAGTCTCACTCCAGGAAAGAGCTGAAAGACTGACTAGCTGCAGGAAGTGTGGCCATGGCATCTTTGTTCTTCTCAATCTTCCATGGTTGCTCCTATCTAACTTACTTCTTTGGCTTGGTTACCTAATGCAGCCATTTTTTAGCATCTGTCATTGCAGAAGTTCCCAACTACTAGCCTGTTGGGAACAGACAAAGCCCAACAGGAACTTTTGGTCAGAAAGAGAAAGTCCCTCCAGTCTATCCACAGCTTCAGTAGCCTCAGAGCCAGGAGGCCTTTAAATAACTTGTAACCTAGATTAAATGTCATTCTATTAAGGGATTCCTTAATAAGAAGACAGTTCAGCAGATGAATTGACTCAGGCTTTCTGAGTTCTGGGACCACTCCAGGTGTCCTCCAGACCAAATTGAGATCTCCAGTTTCAAAGAACTATTCTTGACATTGAAGATGGAGATTCCATGAACCTTCTCAGATTGTCACATTCACTGCCTCTACCCCAGTCACTAACCCTTCTTCAGGCTATAGGGCCTAGTTTCAGGGTAGCAGCTGTGGCTGGAAATCTTAAATTTGGTTCGCTTCATCTCATCAGGTGCCACAAGATCTGGTAGGGCTAAAAATGGAAGTGTGAAGAAATTTGGTTCCTGATGGAAATAATATAGATTTTGAAAGATGAGATTTAATTACATGCAAAATAGAAAAAAAATTACAATAGGTTGCTTGGTGTTACCTGCTGGGACATTTTTGATATCAAGGTAACATAGCCTAGAAACTACTTGAGTTTCCCTAAGAAATCTGGAAGTGAAATCACCATATCTCTTCACAAATAATTATGTATTTTGTTGATGTGGATAGTTACTATGACATAAAGATCAGAAATTTTAGTCCTGTCATTCAGAGACATTAAAAATATGGTCTCACTATAACTTAAACATTAACACACTGCTCCCACTTACGTGGACCCCATAAGCCAGCAAAATGAATTATTGTTTCCTTCCCAAACATGCCATGAATTTAACCCATGGTCATACTTTGGCCCATGCTATTCCCTCTTTGCCTGCAGTTCTTCTTTTGGCCAGTCTGCCCAAATCCTTCTAGTTCTTCAAAGCCCAGCTCAGATACCACCTTCTGTATGGAGCTGCTTCTCCATTTCCCCTACCTGAATGTGACATTAGTATCTTATGATGCCCCTTTCCAACAGCACATCAATGTGGCACTATTTCCATAATGTCACTGATTTGGCTTCGTGTTCTTGGTGTTCTTCAATACCTCCTACTAGACTGTAAAACTTCTTGAAAGCAGGGATTCTTGTATATGAATTTTTAAATCCTCCATTGTGCCTAGGTGCTCAATAATGTTGGTGAATTATTGAATTGATTATCAAGCTGTGATATGGTCTATATCCTCAGGGTGCTGTCCCTTGTACATGAAAATAATGTTACTGACTCATTGTCAGCAAGATACATCCCTTTTGGGGTGTGTTTTGTTTTCTTTTAATAGTGGATTTAGTTTTGTGCTAATGATAATGATTTCAACAATGATGATGATAATAATAATAATAACACAAATGATGATGATAATAATCATAACAATAAATGACTTTCAATGAGAACACAAGGATGAGTTTGTGGTTTTTTTTTTTGGTGGTGTCAGGGATTGAACCCAGAACTTTGTGCATGTAAGGCAAGCACTCTACTACATGGGCCATATCCCCAGCCCCTGAGTTTGTGTTGTTGATGGCATATTTTTTATTAAGACCCCTTTAGCAACTGAAATTTCAGGAACAGAATCACATTGCATAGCTATCCCATTCATTTCCACTGTGGAATTTTGAGTATTTCCAAGATGGCATGTGTTGTAATTCTTCCCTTATATCATGATAATGCCCTCCACTTGCACTTCCTTGCTGACCTAAATGTGTCCTTTATAATAACTGGATTTTAGATCTAGCAATGAGAATTCTCCACTGAATGTGATAAAAACTAAAGACACAGTTATTGACCATATAGTATTAGCATTTGCAGAGGATAGGAAAGGCAGCAGAATATAACAGACACTAGTACGGCAGTATGTAAAACAGTGGATGTGTAACCGATGTGATTCTGCAATCTGTATACGGGGTAAAAATGGGAGTTCATAACCCACTTGAATCAAAGTGTGAAATATGATATGTCAAGAACTATGTAATGTTTTGAACAACCAACAATAAAAATTTTTAAAAAATTAAATAAAATAATGTGACCAAAAAATATAAAAAGTATTAGCATTTGCACTGAGGTCAATAGGACATGGATGTCCAGAAGAGCTACAGGTGAGCTTCCACATCTGCAGAACTGGATGTATTGGAGTAATGCTGTTGGCCCTCTCTGCCTTTAGGTTCCACATTCTTCATTCAATTAATTATGGATAGAAAATATTTGGAAAGAAATTATATCTGTACTGAACATAGAAAGCCTGTTTTCTTGCCACTGTTCATTAAATATAGTATAAGCACCATTTACATAGAATTTACCTTGTATTAGGGATTACAAATAATCTGGAGATGATTTAAAGTATAGGATGGGAAGTTATATGCAACTGTGCCATTTTTTAAATAAGGGACTTGGGTGTCTGTGGATTTTGGTATCCATGGGGAATCCTGAAACCAATCCCCTCTGGTCATGGATGCATGACTGTACTTGTGGATTCAAGGATATAGAACACATAGTTGGCAAAAGGTAAGGAAACAGAACAGCAGCTAGTTATGTTTTAAGGCTCTCAGAAGAAAAATAATGTTTAAAAAATTTGTAACAACTTATGGCTTTAGTTTTTTTCAATATTTTTTAGCTGTAGATGGACAAATACCTTTATTTTGTTTATTTATTTTTATGTGGTGCTGAGGATCGAACCCAGGACCCCACATGTGCTAAGCAAGCGCTCTACCACTAAGCCACAACCTCAGCCCCTATGGCTTTATTTTTTAAGCTAAAAAGAAGAGGGATAAACTGCCACTACTCCCTATTTTTATTTAAGAGATGCACCAATTGCCAAGTACATTGTTAATTTCTACTTATGTCACTGTCAGTTAGTGTCCCTTTCTTTATTCTCTTTTACAAATAATTTTAAACATATAAAAACTTTGCAAACATAAAGCATAAAGAATCTCTATATGCTTTTCACTCACATTCACCTATTATTAAAATTTTTACCAAATTTTCTATATAATTTAATTGTGCATTCTCTGTACAGGCACAATGTATTTTTTTTCCGGAACTGAGAGCTGCATATATTAATTTCTATATTTTATAGTTATAGATTCCAATCTTTAAAAAACACTGTTTTATCTCTATGATAATGGCATAGAGCTGGGGGTGTAGTTCAGTGGTAGAGCAATTGCCTAGCATACACAAAGACCTGGCTTCAATCCTCAACACTGCAAAAATAAATAAGAAAATAAAGGTATTACAAAATATAAAGTGAAAACTCACATGATGTATTTTAAAGCTAAGTTAGTGGTCTTAATTGTTTGAATTTTTAATTTCACAACATTTACATTATGTATGTTGAAACTTGAATTAAATGCAATTATTAAACATGGATTTGCAACTAAAGCATGTTATAATTTAAATAATTTTTACAAATTGGTTCATATAGGCAATACTGTAAAATTATAGAGACCTATCAACTTTTCCCATTTCAATCTTCTCAGTCAAGTTTAAGAGTATAATGGCTTTTTAGTAATTACATATGTCATTAATATTTGGTTTTGTTATTTTAATGTAATTATGTTTTCTGATATTTAAAAAAAATTACTTTTAAGATGAGATCAATAAAATAAGGAGACAGTAAATGCCTATATCTGTTTAAAGACTTATAAAATGTAGAGTTTACCACTAAAGGTATTTGACATAAAAAACTGGAAGATAAAGAATAATACACCATTGTACAATTCCTGTATGAGCTCTCTATATTTTTGTCTAAATATAAAGTACATCTGCTTTACTGAGCTAAAGATAAAATAATATGTAATATATTATGACAATTATAATTATATGGTTTATTTAGAGTTAATTTTGCTTTTAAAATATTTGTAAACCTTAAGTAGCATTATAATTTAAGTATTTGGATCAAGTACTTATAATGTGGTATATTAGAGTTAATAAAATGACGTTATGGGCTGGGGCTGGGGTTCAGCAGTAGAGCGCTCGCCTAGCACATGTGGAGCCCTGGGTTCAATCCTCAGCACCACATAAAAATAAATAAAATAAAGGTATTGTGTCCAACAAAAACTAAAAAATATTTTAAAAATGACATTTTGTGAGAGAAAAAGTATAATAAATGAAAAAAACTTTCATAAAAAATAAATTAGAATACTTCATTTCCCTATTATATTTACTTTCCAATGTCTCTGTTTCTTTTATGCCATCTTCCTTTCTTCAAATCTTTTAAAGCTTCCTCCCCCAATATCCAACTTGGTGGTCTTGCTTTCTATTTAATTAAGAGAAGCATTAAGGGCTGGGATTTTGACTCAATGGCAGAGTGCTTGCCTAGCATGTATGAGGCACAGGGTTCAATTCTCA